AGGACTGTGAGATAATAGATTTGTGTTGTTAAGCCACTGAGTTTGTGGGAATTTGTTACACAAGCAATAGGTAACTAATATACCCATGTTGCAACATCTTCTTTTCTCCCCAAAGTGTAGTAACATTTTCCCAAAGTGTGAATGAAAACATCAGCTTGCACTGCTCCTGGTTCCATGGCTGTTGAACATGTAATATTAAAACCTCTAATGTTAGGGAATGCAAGGGAGAATACTGAACTGCAAATAAGGCAACTCCTCAACCTGAAAATGCCCAGGGAAAAAAAATTCTATTCAAGACATCTGCATGCTTAGAGGAATACTAACATGTAAATATAATAAGAACAAAACTGGTAGTTTGCAAAACAGGGATCCATTGTAGGCAGCAATATGAATACAAAAACTGTTTTTGATCTTCATTTTTGTGGAATATCAACATTTTCAAAAAACCTTATAAAGATTAAGCTATTTTAATGCAGTTTCCCAAAGTATCAATAGAGTAATATTAACTAATCTTTTCAAATTCTATTTTTATTAATTTTCTAATAATAATGTAGTAGAGTCTAAGTCTTTTTTATAAGATTTTTTATAGAGAGATATAGAGAAAGAATTTTTTAATATTTATTTTTTTATTTTTTCGGTGGACACCACATCTTTATTTTTATGTGGTACTGAGGATCGAACCCAGCTCTGCTGCCATGCCAGGTGAGCGTCCTACAGCTTGAGCCACATCCCCAGCCCTAGAGTCTAAGTCTTAAAGGGATAAAATCAGAGTTTGATTTATTTACTTAATTAAAAAAAAGAGCCTTGGAAACTAGTAATGATTAAATTCTATTTTTTTATTAGTTGCTCAAGACAATACAATGATCTTGACATATTAAATGCTATTATTAACAAAGCTAACACATAAAGTAAATATGCATCTATGAAGTAATGCTGTCACATAAACATGCAAATATCTATCAGCCAAACATGTAGCACCAAGCAAATTCAGTCCTTATAAAACAAACCCTCCTTCAAAACATTTTTTTCTTAAAATTCTGGAGGTATTTTCTTGTAAGAAAATATGATATGACATCACTATTTTCTGCTCTATTATGAAGCAATATTTGAGAAAATCACAACTTGATTCATATGATTTATTTATTTAAGATTTGAAGGTTAATATAATCATTAGAAGTTTTTTTTTTTTTAGTTAGAGCGAATGTGTGTGTGTGTGTGGGGGTGGGGGGGTCCACCCAAACATGTTTTATAGCAAAATATACATTTAGCCAGGTAGAAACTACTTCGCCATGAGTTTCCGGACTAATCCCTTAAAGAAGGAGACCTCCCCTTCAAGGCAAATTTTACTCCCATTCTTCAGTGTAGCTCTGCAGGAAAAAGAGAAGAGATGCACCTTTTGGTGCCTGGATTCCAAAACAAGATCTGACAGAGGGACAGAGGGACAGCTGGGCAAAAGGCAGCACCAACTGCTCAAGGTCAGGACTCACATTATCTGGGTGTTGGCACAGTGGGGTCCAGCCTTGATCACCTCCAGGTTGATGATGTGCTTGGCATTGACTTTGGACATGGTCTTTAAACACACGCACTGAAGGTCCCCATCATCTGAAGGATCCTCTGAGGGTGGCAGAAAGGGTGAGGAGCCAGGAGTAGGGGAGGGAGGAGGATTTCAGGAGTGGCCAGAGGCACCTAGAGAATCTCCCAGCCCCTCCCCCACCCCTGCCCTTGGTCTTCATTTCCTTAGCCCCGAATTGCATTTCCAGAGGGAAGGTATATTGACTCAGTGGCAGCGCACTTGTGTAGAGCTTGGCACAGCGCCCTCACACTTCAGAAGCCCAGGACAATAGAGCTGGAACCATTAAAGTTAACGACACTGCCTCAGCCCCGCAGGGGTTCCAGGAATCAATTCCCACTGTTCTGGTTGGTCGGTCCCTCCCCTCTTTGCTTCTGCTCTCACCTCTCCTGGCGACTGTGATCACAGCTGATAGGAGCAATAGCCCCAGGAGCAGCAGCCCTGGGTTGAGTTGGGGGCAGAGGCTGCAGGAGCGCAATATGAGGCCCATGTCCTGGAGTTTCC